TCTACTACCACCACCACCTCCACTACTACCACCACCTCCACTACCATCTCCACTACTACCACCACCACCTCCACCACCTCCAACCCCCCATCTCTGGTCTCCGTGGGTCCCTCCGATAACCATCCGAGCTACCCTCCCCCATGTCCCAGCCTGCGTCTTCTGCAATCAAAGCGCCATCAGCTCTGACCGCTCGTCACGCGGCGGAGCGCTGCCACTTGGACTCGACGTGTCCCTTGGCATGACGGCGGCGGCGCTCCGGCGGTGCGAGTCGCTGGCTTGGCCGCACCGCGCCTGTCGCCTCGTGGGTGTCCCGAGAGGTCGGGCAAAGCGGCAGAGTCACCTGCTGGGGAGGGCGGCTCACTGCAGGGCCCGCTCCACGTGTCTGTTGCGGGGCGCGATGCGCGCCAGAGGCTCCTTGGATTCCAAGACGATAATTATGAAACCGCAGCACAACTGGCTCTGTACATGTCTAAGCTTAAACGCGTAACTGGAGAGGCGAGAGGGACAGTGAGTTGACTCCATCTCTCTGGCGGTCTGTCTGCGTGAGATGGATAAGGGCGATTGCCCGCAACAACTATTATAGTTTGTTTCCTTTTAAGGCCACGGTGTCGTTGACGAGCGTGTTGAGTGTTGTTGTTGTGGTTGTTATCTGTGCGTGTGCACCACTGCCAATGCAGCAGCAGCATCACCACATACTTGGTCAACATGTGAGTCTCTGGACGATGTGTCTTCTTCACGCGTCTGCTTATTTATTTAAACGTTTACATTCACTACAACGGCAATGATTACATTTTCGAGTTATGTATATTGTGCTATTGCGTCGAACTGGGACCCATATCTAGCAAAGGTTAGGGTGCTTGCATGTATTCATTTCCCGGTTCACCAGCACCACTCACAGAGGGCCATGCGGCTGATGGTACTTTTATCTCTTACGTGGAGAGATGTGTGACGGAGGCGAATATCGTGATTATTTATTGTGGTACCAAACGAATGGTGGGAATTCTACATTCCTGTGATAGAGTCTTGTATATCCAAGAGATAACGATGACTGTTAAAGTCATCCCAGGAGGCATGATGCGACGTAGTCCACCCTGGTCAGGATATTACCAACTCAATCCTGATTTGACCCTTTGATCCCTGCTGCTGATGCACCAGCCAGGCTGAAGGAATGAACTAAGTGTCTTAATTATATCAATTAAAACGTGTTTTTTGCATTGCTGTGTGTGCAGTCGATGAGCGGGGGTGTGTGTAAAGTTGTCTAGGCTCTTATCATTTTTTAAAACAACACGGAGAAGCGAGGCCAATGGTGAGCGAGTCCAGGGCCACTGCGCTGCTGGCGACACCTCACGTGGCTGCTGTGTCGATGAGGTGCCATACTCTGGCTCGCCAGGAGATGGCGGTACAGCAAACATGTTTACTCCGCCTGTGCCGTCTGTATGGGATCGAGTGTTGCCCCCTCGCACGAGTGGGTTAACCTCCAGGTGATCCAGTTTCCTCCCACATGTAAACACTCGTTAATTGGCTGATAACACCTTAACATATAGAGGACCGCAGAGCTTGGTGACTGTTGGAGTTGGCACACAATCTGCAACTGACAACCATGTGTAATCTTTCTGGTGTTTTTTTATGCAGTATGTTGTTAAGCAATCTTGTTGTAGAACACACTGTTACACGCTGAGCACGTGAATGTCCAAATCATTATTCTACACGAATTCTACTTTAGGAAAGACTTGCCGACTCGCGAAAACATTTTTGTGAGTGAAATGTTTAAAACGCAAGTTTAGGATTGAAAACTTTTTTTTTAACGTAATAATAATAATTTTATAAAACTTGCCAAAGTAATGTATGATTGATTTCCTGCTGAAACTTTCTTGTGTTAAATATATAAAACAACACCGTACCATGATACATATTACATGGGGGGTGTGTGGGGGGGTCCCGTCTTGTCGCGTTAATCAGCCTTCACACGCACGGCAGGTCCCGTGCAGCCCCGGTGAACAGGGAATCATGAACCAATCTTTACTTTTCAGCTGTTGTGCAAAACCGATATGTTTAAAATCCCTCCAAAACCAAACTTCGCCTTTTGGGATTTGTGAGCACGAAACTAAAATTGAACAAGACCTCCGTTCTGGAGAGACCGTCTCTCTCTCTCACACACACACACGCACACTAAACAAAGGCAGAGCTCCCCCAGATAGACTTTCGGAGGTCAAGTGCTGCTCGCTAGAGCACCTATCACGGTGGGCACGGCCAGCGTGTGGAGGCTGTCTTGTGGTGGCCACAGCCCCAAGCGCGGCTGCGTTTGTCTCCCCGGCGCCGATGTGTACACGCCGTGCCAGATAGCCCAGGAGAAGGCTCAGACATCACTTTCCATAGATATTATCCTGACATTCACACAGGACGAAAACAAGGATCACCCGTATGTATAGCTTACATAGAATGTTAAGGTAAATGCTTTTTTTGAAGGCTGAGCCAACCTATGGGATGCCCACTACTGGTTCAGATATTCTCCACTGATGTTGGCCGTGAGCGAGAGAGTCGAAATTAGATCTCTGGGTGTGTGGCGCAGGGCACTAACCACGACACCACCGCTATCAACAAACAAAGACAAAGATATATAGCCTTACCAGACTGTTGAGGCAAGTGCTGTGAGTGAGCATCTATGGAGGCCAGAACGGTACACGAGAGATTGGGTGACCAGCACCACGCCCAGTCACCGGGGTTGGCCGTGAGCGGGAATCGAACTCGGGTCGCTGGGTTTGTAGCGCAGGGCGCTAACCGATACACTACACACACGTACACACACGTACACACACCCACGTGTACACACAAACACACGTACACCATCACACCCACACGTACACACACAACAACAACCATTCGCCACAAAGTGGCGGTGACGTCACCACGGCGCTTGTGCCAGGCTATGTGCACGTTGAGGCCACGTGAAGTGTCGAACGCCCGCTGGCAGGAGGTCACGGGGCAGACCCAAGGTGCCACGGGTCGACTGACTGAGATGACTGGCTGATGCACCACCTGTGTCCCCTACTGTGCCAACTTGCTGTGCTTTAGCCACCCGGCGCTCCTCTCGTTGTTGTGAGCATCACTCCCCCCCTCCGTTGTTGTGGAGGGTGACTGCCTCCAACTACTCAGTAGCGTCCTCACGAGCCTCCGCCACAGCGGCTGATCTTGACACCGCTGGTACCAGTCATCGGCAAGTCCACTCAGCTCCACATCATCCTGTACCACATCACTCCATCTCTTCTCTAGCCCGTGCCGCGCTCGTTTAGCCCCCTCGATCCGGCCGAACAAAAGCTGTTTAGGCATGTGGTGGCTGGGCAGCCTTGCCTGCTGGAGAATCTCACCGATGGGGCTTTGTCCAGATCTTTAAAGGATTTGTGAGCTCCTCACACAATCCAGCCTGCAGGTTAAACCCAGGATGGACCGGAGGCAGGCCAGCCTAAATGTTTCTAACCGGCGAAGATGTTCCATTAAGGGGGTCCACATTTCGCAAGCGTAGAGAAGGGAGGGAATGACTGTGGTCGAGAAGACCTGCAGCTTTGTGCAGAGCGACAGACCAGGTACAGTAGCTTACACACAGCGTTACGCAACCAATGAAAAGATAATGAGACCTCTGCTGCCAAATCGGAGCCGGTCATGAGCACACTGCCCAGGTATGGGAAACTCTCCACTCTCTCCACAACTGCCCTATCACCAATTTGGTGTTGTGGGAGTGGAGTGTCCGATGGTACAAAATACCCAGGCAGGTGCTTAGTTTTGGTGAGGCTGATGGTAAGTCCCCACCTCTTAGTGGCAAGCTCCAGGTTCAGCAGCAGCGCCTCCAACTTCTCTGAGTGAGTAGCAATTACCAGATCATCGGCATACATACCATGGTTGAGCAATAGGGAGCCATCCCTTGACCCCACCCGGGCATCGATCAGCCTCCCATTGTTCTGTACCAGATGGAAATTCCTCCCGTATAGCTATTGAAGGCTTCACGAACTACGTGGTCGAAATAGATGTGAAATAATGTGGGAGCCAAAGGACATCCCTGTCGCACCCCAAAGTGAACAGGGAATGGCTCCGACTCCCGGCCACGTAGTTTTTCCCGGGCCCGATCACCGTCATGAAGGTCTTTAATGATCGTGAGTAGCGGGTCAGGGACTCCGAAAGCACGAAGAACAACCCAGAGCCCAGGCCTACTGATGGTATCATAGACCTGGGCCTATGATACCACCCACACGTACATACACCGTTGCCCGTCGAGTAGTGCCAGCGCGCAGCATATTGTGCGATCTCCACGGCGCTAAGCGTGCGCGAGGACAGATGGAAGATGATGGATGAAGCGGGGGGGGCGGGGGGGGTTGGGGCCGGGTTCCCGGCACCGTGCCACGCTCGCTTCTTGCGCTGCATCTGCCGGGGGCGGGCGGCGCGACCGACGACAGGACAGTGGGAGGAGCGGGGGGGACACGGGGGGGGGGGGGGGGCGGCTTGGGACAGCTCGTCAAAGCGCCCGGCACATTAAAACGGCATCAACGGTAATTAGTCCAAATTTGAAATCAAAATAGCTTGCGTTAAGATTTTAAGGCGAAGAAGAAGAAAAAAACCCAAATTGTAATGACTTAGTTTACATTTAATCGTTTGATGCCAACTGTTAATGTGCTTTTTTAAAGAGCTGTCATTCACCATCCGTCTTAAGCATTTTGTTATGAATTATTCATCATCGGTGTGTTAAATTGACAGGGCGCAGTGTTGGTTCTTTTAAGAAATCTAGTGGGGATGGGCCACTTGAAATCTGGTCGCGTTCGCCCAAGAGGAGCCATTCGTCGCCCTTCGCGTGCGAGGTTGGGGGCGCTTCTTCCGCGCGGAGTTCGGAAGTGGCTTCATCCCCCCCACCCCCAATCTTTGTAAAACTTTTTTTTATTTTTCCGCCACCGGGGCGCCCCCGCGGTGGCGGTAATGTCAGGCCGTTGTGAGCGCTCGCCGTGTCGCCTCTGCAGATGGGATCCTGGGCAGCTGCGTGAAGGCCGCCTCCATCTCGGCGGCCGCCCAGCACCGACTGAGCGCGATCCTGCGGCAGCTGGCGACTCCAGGTGAACGGCGCGGCAGGGCGCGCTCCCCACGCACACACAAGACAAAGCTCCCCCGTGTAGCCTTAACATACTATTGAGGCAAGTGCTGTGAGCGAGCACCTATGAAGGCCGGCACGGCACACGAGAGGGTGGGTGGCTAACACCACGCCCGGCCACCTTTGATTCCCGAGTGGCGATGTTTACACATCGCACCAAAAACTAAATTTGATGCTGAGTCGACCTAGGGGATGCCCAGGACCGGTTTAGATAATCGTCCCTGGTGTTGGCCGTGAGTGGGAATCGAACTCGGGTCGCCGGGTTCGTAGCGCAGCGCGCTAACTGCTACATTACCGCTCCCCCCCCACACACACGTACACACACACGTACACACATCCACCACACTCGCACCACGAAACCATAATAGATCCACCACACGCACTGCTGGAGTCAACCCAGTAAACATGCCGCCGACGCTGGGCCACTGTTGGCATGTGGTTGGTATTGTTGGAGCAAAGTTGGCACAATGTCCCACGTTGCTTGACTGGGACCGCGCTCCCACAAGTCTCGTGCTCACGCTGTCGCCACTCTCGCACTGCAGCTGCACTGCTCCCAGCACCGCTCGCTGGCTCCTGCGTCGACAAACGCGGTCACATTCAGACGCACTGCGAACCCAACCTGTACTCGACTGTATCCTCTCCACCATGCACTCACGAGGCTTCCCAGTCTCTACGCACCAACAGCACACTCCTCACTCTGCACACCAGCCACCCAGTCAACATGGATCGTTGCACCAACGTTGGCTCAACATTGCATGTTTACTGGGCAGTCGCCCACCCTCGCTCCCCATTTGTCCACCACACCCCTGCCAACACACTCCCCACACTCTCAATATGGACTCACCAGGCCCCCCCACACTCCCACCACGCTCCTGTCACACTCCCACCACATTCGCCACCCTCCCACCGCGCTCCCTCCACGTTTCCCACGCACCCACCGAGCAGAGCAAGGGGAGAGAGTGAGAGTGAAACTATATATTTAAGCATGTAACAAAACACACCGAAACGGCACACAGGCACACACGCGCATCCACACGCGCGCACACACCCCCCCACACGCGCGCGCAGACACCCACACACCCCCCACACACGCGCGCAGACACCCACAAACCCCACACACGCGCGCGCAGACACCCACACACCCCCACACGCGCGCACGTGCGCGTCGCGGTGTGCGAGGGGGCCGGCGTCTCGAGGTTAATGGCGCAGAACGCGAGCGCTCCAGGTGAAGGCCGCGGCCGCCGACGTAGAACAAACGAAGCGGCGCGTTCCTGCAGCTCCATCACCGGGAGGGAGCGTCGGGCCCGCAGACGCCCGGGCAGCAGCGCGTCCTCCCCCTCCCGCCTCCACTCCTCCGTAATAAAACTGAAATGTTTTTCAAATGTGCGAGTGAAGGATTGCGAGAGAAGAAGCGAGGCAGGCGCGCGCGTGACAGGCCGGACGAACGAGACGGCAGAAAGGACACAAACACAAGGGCGGGGCTTGGCTCTGTGCCGTGATCTCCCTCCCGGCTCTGCCAATTTGTTCAGGCGCGGTGAAGGTGGAATCATTTTCATGGATGGATGGAAACTTCCGAACACATTTAATCACGAGTGATGAATACCTAACTTTTGATTTTAATATTACACGTCGACGATGTGATGCTGATGAAATCAATGTTTGTTCCCCACAATGACCTGGTGGGACTCGTGGTAGGTCAACAACCTCGACACTGTAGCTGCAGTCCAGAGATCAACTCGGGCATCACCCTGGGAGGTGGAAGCGTAACGATAGATACCCCCTGCCGTCATTTCACACATTCTCACGACTCAGGGCCATGATTTGAGGAGGAATTACTTTTACTGCCTCTCCCATGGGGTCCCATCCTCCTTGCAGCATATCGTCTGCGAATTGTGGAAGAGTCTTTTCGCTCATGCATCGCGCGAAGTCTTATGAATTAGTTTTAATTGGCGAGTCGATGTGCCCTAACATGCACTGGTGGCACTAAGTCCAAGCAAGCCAAGCAAATGTAAAGTGCCCAAAACAGATCGAGGGGCGCCGGCTTCATAGAAAAAAAAATGTGTGTACGTAAACTATCATCTCAGGTTCAAATCCTCTTAAACATTTCACGCTAACAAAATGAAAGCCACTTGACATTACTCGTCTGCATCTCCCTTGCCGTCTCTACTGCATCGCTTGTCTCTGGGTCGCATCTCTGCTGCCATCTCCACTGCATCCCTAATTTCTAGTTTGTAATTCCCCTGTCATCTCAATGAGACTTTACAAACTTGCAGTGGGGCAGCCTCAACGAATTTCCCCCACCTGGGCTGGTATCAACGTCGCAAAACGCGGCCTGGCCGTCTCGCCCGACAGGGAGGACATGCCCGGCACTACGGATTGCCCTCGATAAGAGGTGGCGGCGACGGTGGCGACGGTGGTGGTGACGGTGGTGGCAGTGGCGGCTGTGGTGGTGATGGTGGTGGTGACGGTGGTGGCGGTGGTGGTGGTGACGGTGGTGGCGGTGGTGACGACGATGGTGTTGACGGTGACGATGGTGGTGACGGTGGTGGTGACGGTGGTGACGGTGGTGGTGACGGCGGTGGTGGTGGTAACGGTGGCGGTGTTGGTGACGGTGGTGACGGTGGTGGTGTTGGTGACGGCGGTGACGGTGGTGGTGACGGTGACGGTGGTGGTGACGGTGGTGGTGACGGTGGTGACGGTGGTGGTGACGGCGGTGACGGTGGTAACGGTGGCGGTGTTGGTGACGGTGGTGACGGTGGTGGTGACGGTGACGGCGGTGACGGTGGCGGTAGCGGCGGTGGTGGTGACGGTGGTGGTGACGGTGACGGCGGTGGCGGTAGCGGCGTGCGCGATGCTGAGAGAGCGACTTCTCATTCCGCGCCGCCGCGCTTGGAAAGCGCTTCGCGAGCGCGCTCCGACATTTTGACCCCCGGTGATGAACGGCCACGACTTCCACGCCCCTCCCCCCCCGGGAGGGGTGGGGGGCGACAGCGTGCGGAGAGATGACTGCGGCATTATGAAAAAGGAAAAGGGGAATTCATAAATCGTATCGCAAGCGAGCTTGAGGCCATGTTTGCGCGACACCACGTGGGAGGCGGCTGCGTCTCGATGACGAGGCAAAGGGCTCTCAAAGAGCGGCGAAATCGCGCACTGAACACTCGATTATTCAAATCTGTGATGAATAAGTCAACAATGTTTCACCGCTTAGAATTTTACAACGGAGTGGCCCCACACTGGCATGGCCACAGATTTAGTAAACAATAAATAAATAGCAGCCCCTGTTGACTCTCTCCGCAACCTTGGGTTTGTAGCGACACACTTGAGTCCATTTCATGGCTGAGTTTTTTTCTTGTGAAATTAAAACTTGAACGACAAAAGTCTTAGAAAGTTCCCAGCGGTGCAGAAGTCGATTGCACGGCAAGTTCTGAGACACCCTGAAATCATCGTGACGTAAATTCAGAGCTGGTCAGCTGTGCCACTCCTATTCGCTCAAGTTACGCCTCAAACGGATAATATATTTCTGAGGTTTGATTAAATTCGTGCGCCTTTCTTGGTCTCTATGATAAAGATGCATCTTCTGCCCGTCGGGTTAATTTAATCTGTCTTGTTTTTATATTCAACCTGTTTCCCTGTCATTAACCGAATCAAGGTCGTATGAATCCCATTGATAAATCAGCACATAACTTGGAAAGGTAAGCAGATGCGAGCCTGCTTGTTATTTAGTGGCGCGAAACGTCGTACATCGTGCCAAGCATCGCGCGGTACAACTCGAACGCGCATCGGAGGAGAGGGTCGCATCTTGACGAAGCGGACCAATCTCAACGTCGCCTTGGTGATTAGTAGCGCTCAGGAAGAGAGACGTCTACGATGTCTGACAATCCGGACGTCACGTGTCGCTTTGAATGCGCCCGGCGTCATCAGATCTCCGGAGCTCAGCGGGGTTGAGCCTGGCTCGGATGGGAGGCTGCCCGGGGAGAGCAGCGGCTGAAGGCTCCGCCTGCTGCCACGTGGCCAGGGGATGGCAGCGCAGTCATGGATATTTCACTTTATCTGCGCCCAGCTTTTACGTGATGGGATATCCCCCCAGGGCACTCCGATTCCCTCCGGCACGAAGCTACTGCATAACAGAATTGGCCAAACATCCCGAGGATTATCTGGATAAAGAAAGGGCATTAGTGACAGTGCACTCTTGGAGAAATGTCTCTTGGGTTGCACCGCGTCTTGTTCCACCCAGAGGTCTGGACGTTGCGAGGGAGAATGTGAGCCACTCAGCTCGGTTCCTGGAGAAGCTGCCCAGCACACGGGACGAAATGTCGGACATCGTTTTTGTACAACTCGCGGTACGACCCGAGAGCGCACCGGGGTAGCTGTGCAGCACGACCACGAAAAGCTGCGTCGCGCTCCAAAGTTGCCAACACGACTCGCAAGTGACGGAATTGGGAATCCACATCGCAACATTCGCCCTCTGTCACTGGCAGGCCGCTGCTGCATTCACCCCGTGCCTTGCAGCAACAGCTGCCGCCCACCGCGGGGGGGGGGGGGGGTCCCCTGCCGACAGGGCGCCTCGAGGTGCACTGCATGGAAGGCGCGGCGGTGTCATTGTTTAGCGACGACGACGACGGTGACCACGATCATGATAACTTTCCCTCTCGTTGGTGGGCAGGTGGCTTCCCGTCGGGCACCACCCACGGAGGACGCCGGCCCGGCTCCGGCTCCCGAGCGCCCTACGGCTCCGTGTGGACGCCGTCCGACAGTGGTGGACGCGAGCTGCTCCCAGCCCCGGACCGCTGGGACCTCTACCCCTCGTGGGTCAGTGCTCCCAGCCCTCTCTCAGCCACTCCTCTCTTATAAAATACTCTATGCAATCATTTTTAGTGAGTCATCCATCGATAGATATCCCAATAACAATAGGGATACATTATACAGCGGTTGTCCTTTGGGCAGACTCGCCCTTGCCACAGTAATGTGGAATTTGTCACCACTGGCTCAGGGCTGTAAACGGGGCGTTGAGATGACTGGTGGCTCGCTGCTCCGCTGAGCAGGAGGACCTCACTCGGAGCTTTGACGAGAGAAAGCGGAGATCTGTGACTCTCCAGCAAGGCTGCCCACACACAGCGCTGTGCCTCCCTGAGATACGGAGACGTCGATCTCGCGATTTTCTTTCTCACCCGTTGAGTCATCAGTGGGGCATCTGTAATCTCACCGTTCTCCGTTTGTCCTTCGTTCTCAATGACTACATTTATTAAACATTTAAAAATAGTTTTGAGAGACATACATGTTGTGTTTTTTTTGTATAAAATAAACCAATTTTAAACTACGATATTTGACTCGAATGAACGGCACTTATTCGAGGAGCAAAAAACGAATGTGGTATCCAGTGGCTAACCGCAGTCGCGAGAAATTGTCAACCGCGGTTTCAAAAATAAACTTCGGTGTTCACAATTTGACCACCACGGAATTGCGCCCCAGGCAATTGTCAAGCAATCCGAGCGGCACTGCCATGCCGCTGTTCGCCCCGTGCTTCCTCAGTCGCCTGTTCGTTATCCTTGATTCTTTTTTATCTCAATTTATTTCCAGTCCAAATGCGACTCCCCACCGTTCGAAGCTCTCTTTACAGAGTAAGCGTCTCAAGACAAGTCGCGTGATACAATCGCGAATCCGTGAATCGAAAACACGTTTGTCAGATTTACATTGTAGGGGCACGCATTTGGAACGACTGGAAACTTCATGGAATTGCGACCCGTCTTGAGTCGATCTTTAAAAAAGAAAATGGATATAACAGTCCGGCCTGCACCAGTGTGCGTGTGCGTGTGCGCGCCAGATGAATCCTGAATCGCGTGGCCCACCCCCCACGTCGCTCCTTGCCCCCCCCCCTCTTGAATGCCGATCGCCCTCCCCGCACCTTCCACGCGGCGGTGCCGCGCGCGTACCCCTCCCATCGCCAGCAGCTGTCACATTAAACCGCTTCCTCGAGGCCCTATCACTTGAAATGTTAATCAGGTTTTTTTTTCACCGCGTGTTTGTTTGCATAAATTGATATGCGCGGCCTGGATTAATTATTTATTTTAAACCCGCTATGATAATGAAGCGGAATCTCTCACCTATGGCGGGGACGCTACGAATGACAACCCCGTGTGTGCACTCGCCTTGCTCTGCACCTTGTGTTACAAGAGAACTAAAAACAATTTTCAAACAAAGCATCGCGTTCATTTGCTTTTGCAGATGTTCTTTCTCACATAAAGCATCCGTTACACAAATAGCGATGGTGTTAAGATTTACGGCGGCCTCCCTTTAAAGTTGTCTGCGTGGCTCAGTGAGCTCGTCACCGCTGTGGCACAGCCCTCAGATCGCGGGTTGAGACCGTGGGTTTAGAATCTGGGTTTCAGCCACTCGTTAATGAACCAGATGTTCGAGTTTGTGGAGTTGGTGACCTCTTCACTTGATGGTGACGCGGCCGAGTGGCGGCGCTTCGGACCGCTTGTCGCAGAGGTTCGCGGTTAGTCCAGAGGCCGCCCCGATTAATACCGCGGCGCGTAGTAGCCGTGATACTGCGACGACTGCTAATACAGCGGAGGTTAAAGATCCCGTGTCGGCATTCAGGTCCAATTTTTTAAAATTACTCGCCAATGACTTGGCTGGAATCTACATCGCAAGCCTCGCGCCCCTACTGTGAAAGCGTGGCAAGCCACCCTCCTGCAAGAGAGCCACGGTGGTTCTGCGAAGCGTTCCTGAGTAAACACGCATTGGAACAGTCGTAGGAGTAATACGAATCCAAGTCGCTGATGAGACTGCACAACAGCGGCACAACACCGCGCACGTTTTCTCTTTCACTCACTTTTCCCTGGACGATCTCGAGGGGGCTGTGATTTGAACATTGCGTGACTGGCTGGCTGGCAGGCTGCTAAGCCGCTGACTCTGCTGTCGGGTAATAGAGTCTCACTGAAGTGACTCCAGGAGGAGGAGGAGGTGGTCTGTGTTGTCGTCTTTTGGGAATCTTACTTGGAATGTTACGAGGCTCGGCTCGTTGTAGGAGATCAGGAAGGACATTTTATTCTTCATGCCGTGACTTAAATAGCACTACATAGGGGAACATAGTTGGTGATAGAATTAAAATATAGGCCTTAATTCTGGGCATGCGCCGCCCATGATGAGGCGGGGTGTTGGTGGGTAGTGAGGTGATCCACTCGAGCCACGTCATCAATGATTGCACACAAAAAAACCGTCCCATTAAATTTGATTTTGACTTAATTTGGCTTAGTCCACATTTTTCTGTACCTCCTCCTGGCAAGCCAGGGTCTGGCTCCGAATCAACGCACGCGTCGGTGGATCGCACGCCCCGACCCTCGCGAACCACCAACCCTCGCCCCTACAGGCCACGTGCTGCACCGCTGCCACCGCTGTAACGCTGCCACAGTTATAAATGGACATTTATTCATCTCATGGCGATCGCACAATCAAATTACGATTGGCGAAGAAAAAAACAACTCTAACTCAATGCAGACTCTGAATTACGGATGCGTCGCTGTTGTGCACTTCAGCAAGGCTACATCCGACGACTTCCCGACAAGGAGCTGTCCAGGCTGCCTCCTCCTCCTGCTGCTGCTGCTGTTGCCACTCCTCTTGCTGGTGACTCCCGCGTGCAGCTCCGGCCGCACCAACCGGCCGCTCGGCCCGAGTCGTGGGGGAGGTCGTGGGACCGCCTGGGGCCCCAGGACCTGCGGCCCGGCGCCCGTCTGCTCGGCCAGCTCCTGGGCCCGGGCTGGGCGACCACGCACGGCCCCGGGGCTTCGGGGCTGCACCCAGCTGGTGGCCGGCAGACGTCGGTGGGAGCGGCCCAACAGCAGCAGCAGCAGCAGTCCGCCTGGGAAGGTGGCGGTGCCCTCGCAGGTCAGAGGTGGGGCGCAGAGGCCACGGGGGTGGCAGCGGACCACTGCAGACCTGCATCTGGGCCATTATTGCGGAGGCATTGTGATGTTGTCAAAAGGCTGATCCTTCAGGCCACGTGGCCTGATCTCTGTCAATCAGTAAATGTGAGTGATACGTTTATGTTAAGTTCAGTTTAACATATGTGAGCTTGGGTAGGACATAGCATGGCTAGCAGGAGTGATGAGCGATGGACAAGACTGGTAAAGGAATGGCAGCCGAAGGAGGGAATGTGCTGGAGAGGAAGAACAGTGCAGAGCTGGGGCGGTGAATTTCGTTCACGGGCAGGAGTGAGATGGATTGTGGTGGATGGTGATGGCAGTGAGAGGCCTTAATCCGGCTGTGGATAGAAAGTAACCGATGATGATTATGATAACGATGATGATTATGATAACGTTTGAAGAAGACTTAGCTCTTTGTTATAAGAGGATTCTGGGATATACACATCAGGTCGCGTTCATAGTGCAATACAAATGTCGTCAGAATGAAGTAAGAGAAAAAAACGTGCTTATCAAAATGTGACATGGGGTAAAATTATAGATAAAAAAATTACACATTTTTTAATTAACAGAGAATGGACTCCTGAAGCTTTAGTAATTAAAAAAACGTGGCATGAGTAAAACGCAGAGGCTTGAGTGAGCTACCGTGAAATGCAATAACAATAATAATTAAACAAATATATTATTTTACAGGCCTCTGTAAATCCTCTGCTGGATGAACCCACACTATGCCAGTTGTGTGGGTTCCTTCACCGTGGTCCCGGGGCCGGTCCGAGTGTCACTCCCCGCTGATGTCGGCTGTGGACAGGAATCGACGATAGCGGGCTGTAGTGATAGCAGGCTGTAGTTATAGCGGGCTGTAGTTATAGCGGGCTGTAGCGATAGCAGGAATCAACGATAGCGGGCTGTAGTGATAGCAGGCTGTAGTTATAGCGGGCTATAGTGATAGCAGGCTGTAGTTATAGCGGGCTGTAGCGATAGCAGGAAACAACGATAGCGGGCTGTAGTTATAGCGGGAATCAACGATAGCGGGCTGTAGTGATAGCAGGCTGTAGTTATAGCGGGCTGTAGCGATAGCAGGAATCAACGATAGCGGGCTGTAGTTATAGCAGGAATCAACGATAGCGGGCTGTAGTGATAGCAGGCTGTTTATTGTCACATGAGCTACCAGAGGACGCCAATGGCCTGGACACGCAACTCGACCTTTGCGTAGCTTCATCGTTTAAAATCGATCATTACGCTCCTATCAGCAGCTAGAATATGACGAGGCGAAAGGACTTCAGCTTGCGATGGCATTTCAGTTCGCGATGGTCGGCGCGTGCGCGGGGCTGGCTCGAGTGAATGTTTCATGATTGGCCTCTCCTTTCGGGATATTTAGAAAATGACGCCCTTTGAAGTTCATACAAATCCTAAATCGGCCTTACAAAGGTAGCAGCAGCAGCGTGTACGCCTCGCCCCTGTTAGGCAACGACGGGCAGGTGGCTTTCTCTCTGAGAGCCCGAAGAAGAGTCATGAGCTGCTGTGGGTCGCACGGCAGCTTTGTACTTCCAGCGTGGCAAAGAGGTGATGCCGCAGCGCTCCACGGCACAACGAGAGAGTCTGTCGTGGGCAGGTGTAGAGGTGTGCCCCTCGCCCCTCGCCCCCCCCACCCCCTCGCCCCCCCCCCACGCCCCCGCCCCCCGCCCTCCACATCCCCCCCCGCCCCCGCCCCCCGCCCTCCACATCCCCCCCCCGCCCCCGCCCCCCGCCCTCCACACCCCCCACCCCCACGCCCCCCGTGCGCGCGTCGCGGGGAATTTGGTGCTGAGCCGCTCGTGCTGGGCGAGAGATTTCTTCATTAAATTGCGAATTATTTTTCTTTGTCTTTCAGACACGTTTGACAAAGCGACGCTTAGGAAACAGGTAATTAAAAAAAACAACTTGTAATTGTTATCACCCACACCTGTGCAGCTTGTTCCGGGTATTTGCGTTCGGTGCACCTGCACTGATTATCACCATCAGCGACATCATCGTCACAGCCATTGTCGTGGCTGAGCAGCCTTTCTCTGTAGCCGCACCGACCATCTGGAACCCTCCCCCACTGCAGCGGCATCCAAGCAGCAGCTCAAGGCCCTCACCTGTCCATAGGCTTTTTTATTGGCTTAACGTGAATTGAGCAAAGTAAAACCCTGCAACATTTTTTCTCGAAAAATGTGTTCGTACAATTTCATGGCAGTCGCACAACATCATAGCAGAGCACCCCGGTGGGGACGATGCATGGTTCGTGTAGAGCCACCGACACGGCCGCTTTGAGGCCTGGGCCACGGAACTACACGGCGACGTCCGTCTGAGCAACGTCCACATCATTCGCGGCGATGGGCGATGCTCACGATGTGCTGCGAGTGAAGGCTGCACGCGAGGGCGGATTTCCCTGCGCGTGTGGGAAATGAATCTGTCACTCGCCGCTCCGTCCACGAAGACGGCGGCACCACTCCAGGCATAGAGAGAGAGAGAGGGCGCGCCACCGTACGGAGTCAGGGCGAACTGCAAGCGTGTCGTCGCGATGTCGAATTAGAAAACGCGAGCCATTAAGAACACGTTTGTTCTCGAGGTGTCTTGTGTTTAGAACGGTAGACCGCGCGCGTGAGTAATGCGTATCGCCGGAGACTGGTTTCCGTTCCGACCTTTACTCTGCGTCTTGATTTGCGAGACTAGAACCAGTTTGTTCTTAAGATGCATTTCTGTTTTTTTCCAAGATCTCGCTTAGAAAGAGACAAGCGGCGTCGATGGGCCCTGACCCCTGCTCAGTGCCCCACGTGGCCCCGTTAGCCACGCGATGACCGTGTCCGGCATGCGCGCACATCCAGGCTGCAGCTCGAAGACTTATTGATGGGCGCTGGTTGGGCTGGCCATCGATGTTACTGTTGATGAGACCCACTCTGTCCACCACCACCGAGATGCGCTTTAGAAGCTGCCGCGGTGGAAGTTCGGCAGACGACACGCGCGTGTGGCCGTGGCGCAAGATGCGAGTACGGCGAAAGGTTTAAGCGATGGGCGCGTCTGTCTCCCTTTCACGCCGCTCACCGCCCTCGTCGCTGCTGCTGCTGTTGTCGTGGTGGTGGCTGTTTGCTGGCTGTAGCTGCAGCAAGCATTCTCAGGCGCCCACTCGCGTCCCTCGAGCCCTGCCGTGGGAGGTCCCGACAAAGCCCAAGCCGGTGGCGGCACGTCCGGCGTAGCCCCGGCACCCTCGGCCAGGCCGGGCGCCGCCGGGGAGGGGCACGAGAATGTCCACAGCCTGACGCGCGAGTGGGGCCACGCGGGGCCTGCTGCTGCTGGAGGTGGTGGCAAGGTGAGTCGCGCCTTCGGTGATCGCGATGTGGCATCTCTGCACTTCATTGTCTGCCTGGCTCTCCAAACGCTGCGAGCGCTCGAGAATGTTTCTCACACAGACACTGTTTATTTGCACAGTTCATCACTGCCATTATCGTTGAATTGTGCACGTGTCATCGTGATAAGCATGCAAATATGTTGTTGTTGGTATTTATTACTTGAATACACTTCAAGGCCATCTCGATTATAATGTCAGTCACACGCGGAGACGCATACACGAGCAGGAGAAATGTGATGCCTTTCAAGGCGCAGTGATGTGACGTCGAGTGTATGACACCGCCACGAGTCTGGGGTTCAGTCTGCCACCTCTCGGCCGGCGTTCCTGCCCACCCCGAGTTCGTATTCGTTTGAAAAGAAGTGCCCGGTGCCCACGGCACGAGTCGCCAGGGTGAGGAGGTGCTCCGCTTGGCACACTGCCCAGCCACACACCGTGCCAATAGCCAAGACGCATCAATTTCGAACACTTTTTTACACGTCTATAAAGTTGCCTACGATCAAAACAATGAATGCGCCCAATACCCACACATTTTAAAGAGCTGAGCGTGAGCCTGGTTAACGCTGGGGTCGGAGACTGCCTGGGAATTCCAAGTGTTGTAGTCTTGGCCTGCGATGTTGCATGACAATGTGAGTGTAGCAATGCACTCCCGAATCTGCCTGTGTACAGCTTCTCGTGTCGTCATCATCCTCTCACCCTCTCGCCTACGTGGTCGCTGTGCTCCGGGTACTCTGCTCTCTCTCCACACTCCGCCAAACCTCCAGCGATGGCATTGACCAAACATCGCCACGGAGCAGGTCCCTCCTGGAAGACGATTCTTTAGATGCACATACAATTGACGTCGATGAATAGAGAGCAGCATTGTTATTATCGCTGTTGTTGTTTGAATGTAGCGTGCTGGAGAGGTTTCACTTTCACCCCGCAAGCGACCACGAGTCTTGGTGCCCTGTAAACCTCGACAAGGCGCGTGGATTTGAACTCGCTTTAAATGCGCGAGTTGCGTTTCCCTTGCGTGATGACAACGCGAGAGCGCCACCACCACCTCCACCTCCTCCTCCTTTAAGAGAACGCGCCACTCTGTCTCGCCCCTTGCGCCGTGGCTTCAGCCGACGGGGGGGCGGACCGGACTCCTGGCAGGGGGCCTGCCGCTCTCGGCTCTGACCCCCCAGCCAGGCGCGGCCGCGCCACGGCCGACGTCAGAGCAGCCGCCACGCGGCGGGGCCGGCGGTGGTGCCGGCGGGCGCCCGCAGGGGGCGGCAGGCGACGCAGGAGGCGCCTACGCCTACATCGTCACCAACAAGAAGTGCGCACAGTGCACGGCGACGACTCTCGCGCCTCCTCCACCACAGCGCTCTCACCCACGCGGACATACACGTGCACACACTGCTGGGGCAAGTGCCGTTAGTGAGCACCTATTAAGGCGGGCAGGGCACACGAGGGGTGGGTGGCACCACGCCCGGCCAAACACACAAAGACAATACAAATATGAAGATCCCCCGTATAGACTGTAGGGGCAAATGCCAAACACACACACACCACGCACCATGGTGGCATTAATTACGTAGGTTTATCTATGGGTCTTTAACCATGCCCCAGGACAGCCTCGCGGGTTCTCAGTGATATATTTAAAAAGTGTTCTGCATTGGGAAGTTTGGCCAACATAACATTCAAAGCTTCCTGCAGATGGATTATATTATTTGGGTCTTTCGGTAAAGTCACGTAGATAGGTTCAAAGGAAATACATTTCTTTGAACCCATCTACGTGACTTTACCGAAAGACCAAAGAAGATGAATTCCTGCAGTCATGAAAGCTTGAAGTCAAGATGGATTGTAATTGATTATAATCAATCGCTGTACTGTCATCTCCTGGCCACCTCACAGCCCAGGCCTACATCACCGCTATTTCCAGGTAGTCTCTCTTTATCCAGATACTAATCAGGCTCAAACCTACTGAGCATCCGAGATCTCATGGAATGTGACGAGTTTTGGGCAATATAGTCATTGGTCAGGTCATCATCCATGCAGGGTGGACAAAGTTAAAACTGCTGCGTGGTTGCCTTGTGGAGAGACTTGACCCTGCCATAATAATGTCGAGATGAGAACCGCCCAACGGTCTGTTTGAGCTAGGAGAAACGTCGACTAGATATGAATAATTTTACGAAAAATTTCGTTGTTAATGACTCGCTATTGTCATGCCAAACATTACGATGTCATTTGGATGTCTCAGGCGTCCATACGCAGCTGCATTCTCAAGACGTTTTGTTCATGAATCACCAGGTAATGAGGCTCGGCGAGGCGTGCCGCGTGTGCGCTGTGGGAGTCAACATTGGGACAAACACTACTGGAATTTCACAAAGAACTTGTTAACCAGCCTTGCCCCTTGTAGCCCGGTAGCACGTTACATGGCCGTTACATGCCCCTATTCCTAGCACGCCATCACGCATCGTTATGGAATTATGAGAATCAGTGAGGCACAACACATTCTTTGACGTCCAATGTTATCTTACAAAATCAAATGCTGGGTGTTTATTTCTTGAAAATGTTGTCATTTGTGTCCACAATTGGATGGAGCGGTGGTGCAGTGGTTAGCACACTGCGCTATGATTCCAGGGACCTGGGTATGATTCCCGGCCCTAGACCTCCCGTACGCCAACCCGCACTGACCAGCGCGGGGAAGTATAGTCGAACAAACTCCATGACTGACATCGGGTGGGAAGGCCCTCAACCAGCAGTGGGTTGATGTTTTCTTCTGCAGTGTATTTTGATTTTGTGTTTGGAAATTTTAACGTGACATTTCAGTGCCGACCGCTTCATTGGACACACATTTTGTTTCCAATGGAAACTCGTAGAAAGCAGGGAAACATCACCCTGCGTGAGAGGAGGGCCTCGGGAAGATGATGTCATAGCACTACTTCTGAGGACCTCTCAATTTCCTCTTCTCCAGGCCAGCAGGTGGCGCCCAGCGCCTTCTCGCGTGCCCTCCCGTCGAGGAGTTTGTGTCGTGACAAGCCATCGCGCCGTTTAGTCGTCAGAGTGGGAATCTGCCAATTTTAATGACAACGTAAATGTCGTGGGGCTGAGATGTGACCATAACTCGCCGCACTTGAGAATGCAGGTTAATCACAGGCGACTATAACTTGGATTAAAACCCAAGGATCTCGGGTCTTGCTGGCTTAGCGTTCTGATACTGGGCCACTAATTTGCCTGGCCATCTCAAAATGATGTTTCTTTTAAAATCCACGGAGTTGACATCTCTCTGGACGTGCGCCATCGGCGTGGCATCAGCGCCGAGTCGCCCACTGCGCGCTCTGCGGAACCGAAAAGTCTTTCAAAGACGCACGGACCTCACCTGGGGACATTCTACGTGGAAACGTTTTTTTCAACAAATATTTAATTGTCTTAAAAGCAAATTGTACATTCAAACTTACGTGTATTCTCTCTTGGGAAGGAATTCGTACCCTGCGGGGTTTTGGTCAGGTTTTACTTAATTGTTTTCAAACGTAAAACTGTCTCACGTCGTCGTCTGGAGACCGCAGCATAACAAAAAAAGCCCCCCCCCCCCATCAATGGCTGCTAACCTGTGCCGACCTATTGTTCAAACGTGTTCCTCGCGCTTGTTATTGCGATCCATACGGACCTGAGAGAGCCCCTTTGCCAAATCTATAACCACCGCCGGCTACCTGTGACGCCCCCCTCGCTCTGCCTGGCCGCCGTGTATATTTATAGTCCCCGTGTTATGCGAAAGGCCCGCCATTCTGCCATGAGACGTGCACACGTGTTGCCGGGAAGAGGATGTCTTTGGTTGCTAAAGCGCTCGCATGTGAATCGCCATCACTGGGCTTGCCAGCGATGTTCGCTGTGCTGCTGTGTTTGCGCAGCGCTGAAAGGCGAACGTTTTTTTTTGTTCTCCGTGGATTATCGAGTTCATCGTTTATGTAGAGCTGAATTCATTTACCCAGGACCCTAGCTATTGCCGTGGGTGTACTGCATTAATTTCTGGAGAGGTCCCCCGACATGAATCGAAATGAGAAAGCCATTGTGCGCTGGCGTCACGACCCAAATTTGCCAAATTCGAAAAATCACCTGAAAATTACTCGATTGGGATTACACAGAGACCAACCATCACCCCCCCCCTCTCCACGATCGTGAAAGACCTGCGGACTGTGTCAAGCGAAGCGCCTTCCTTCCTTATTATAGCTATGCGTTATACGAACGGCGCAAATACCAAACGCCCTCAGTTATTGTCGTCTAATTCTCACTTTGGCTCTACATCCCAGCCCACAGTACACTGGCCGAACGTGACCGATGAAAAGGTGCTAAAATCTCAGCTTGTTACTCGAGGAAAATGACGCCGCTATTGATCGCCGGGCAGAATCAATCTTCTAAGTGTCGTTACCTGCACAAATTGGTTCAAATTAATGAGTTTTACAGTAATAATTTGAACACAAGTACAAATACACTCAACGTATTGATTGTTTTTTCAACAACATCACCCCCGCCCCATCCCCAACACCGCCCCCATCCCCGTCGCGAGACCTCAGAATCTGAAATCTCACAAACACAGACATTGACGTCTTTAAGTGGTGAAATATCTGGTATATAAATATATAAAACAAGCACAGCTTCCTGCGCAGGTGTGGAAAATTCCCAGATTCACCACCGCCACACCGGCTGTCATGGTCTGGACCGCGTGGGGTTCAGAGCGTCTGTTACCGATGTCGTGGCTGAGATTGATTCCATGAGAAAGGCTGGGGTCACTTGAAATTGATTTCACAGAACGCTGGATGGGCTCATCTGAGGGTGTGTGGTGTCAGCATGGCTGGGACCAGCCTTAGGGTCTACGTGTCTCTCTTTGTGTGTGTCTGCGTGTCTATGTTTGCGAGTGTCTCTGTGTCTCTCTCCTTGTGTGTATCTGTGGGGAGCGGTAGTGTAGCGGTGTAGCGGGGTAGCATGCTGCGCTACGAACCCGGCGACGCGAGTTCGACTCCCGTTCGCGGCCAATACCCGTCACGTCCTGGGCCACGCCTAGGTCGACTCAGGCTCAAATGAGTACCTGGTGCTCTGTGTAAGCATCGCTAGGGAGACAAAGGCGGTCGGGCGTGGTGCTGGCCACCCACCCCTTTTCGGCCTTCATAGGTGTTCGCTAACTTCACTTGCTCATAGAGTATGTTAAAGGCTTCATAATAAAGGTTTTTGGGTTTAGATCGCGTTATTTATAAACGTTCGTAACCCTCCACCACCCGACATGGCCAATCAGTAAAAAATGTGTCACATTGACAAAAGACAAATAGTTCACTTCTTTAGCCCACCGGTGTGTTGAAGAGTGAATCCACAACATTTACAATGTTTGAGTACGACGTTTCGCTGGTAATTACATCCAGCATCATCGGGCAATTTACCAGAACAGTGAAGCCCTCCTATACGGGGGGGGGGGGGGGTCTTTGTCTGAGTGTGTATGTTCGTGAGTGTCTTTGTGTGTGTCTTTGTGGCTAGAAGTGTGTCTTTGTGTGTGCTTCTGTGTCTGGGGGTGGCGTTTGTTGCCAAGGGACGACGAGGATGTGATGGGGCGAGCAGGCGGATTGGGGAATGCGCTGTTTGCGCTGGGGTGAGGCAGGAGGGATGAGGCAGGGAGGGCCAGACGGGTGTGACTCGCTGCCAGTTGATTTTGCAGGTGAGGATTGTTTGCAGGAGATACATAATTGGGACGTTTTGTGCGCTTGCCTGGGCGGGATGATCTGATCGGCTTCTTGAGTGTCGCCACGACTGTGTGTGTGCTGCTGACTTCCTAGTGTGCACCACGAAGACAAAGATCCCCCGTATATCCTGAGACTGTTAGCGGGCACCTAATGAAGGCCGGCGCGGCACACGAAGGGTTGGATGGCCGGCACCGCGGTCAGCTCGCAGGCTGAGCGGGCACGCAGCCGCGCGTACTCGCAGGGCAGATGAGCATCTCGCTTCTCGGTACCTCCGGAGGTCACGTAAACTTCAGCCGTTGCAATATCTTCGTGTGGCAAAAGATAAGCGAGTTGTGTGAAAACCACTTGAAATTAGTGGGGGGGGGGGGGGTTATCGAGTACGTCACTCTCATTGATCTTGTACATATATGGGTACGACTCAGGACGTGCTTGCTACCCCATGTGGCAGACGCTGTCTGCTCTGGCTGGTTGTTTGCAGCGCGCCGCGCTACGAGCCCGCCCACCCGAGTTCGATTCCCGCTCACGGCCACCAACAACCAGTGACGATTATCTGAACCGGTCCTCCCCAAGGTCGACTCAGCCTCAAATGAGTACCTGGTGCGGTGTGTAAGCGTCGCCACTGGGGAGACAAAGGCGGGCGGGAGTGGTGTTGACCACACCACCCCCCACCACTCCCGTGTGCCGTGCCGGCCTTCATAGGTGCCACTCGCTCACAGCACTTGCCCCAACAGTCTGCTCAGGCTATGCGGGGGATCTTTGTCTTTGTGTGCGTCTCCTGTGCACGCGCATGAGGTGTCGGGCTGGCGGGGGGGGGTCCTTGTTTGAGGGGATTAGCCGCGTTGCCGATGATGACTGCGTTTCCATGCCAACGCCTCCAGAATAATGGCAGCTGTCACCGTGTTTCAGGATTAATTTCCTTCCTATTAGTGCCCAGCCTAGTGGCTTCTGTCTTGGCAAGTGATTGGTGTGGGGCTGAGGGCCGAGGGGGTTGGGTGCAAGGGTGTGGAGGGTGTAACGGGGGCGGGGGGGGTAGAGGTTGGGGGCGGGGTGCGTTGGGGTTGACGGAGAAGCAAGCTTTATCTCTGCTTTTAATAAAAATGCAAATTCATAAAATCGGAATGAACAAAACCTTGCCTGGTTTCCATGGCAACTTTTTCCCCCCCTCTCACAAAGTTATTATTAGTAATTTATATATATATAGGCGCGTACAGAGACACGCGCGCACACACGCACACAAGCAGATCATCGACGAACAAACATACACGCTCACACAGACACACACAAGACAAATATCCCCCGTGTAGGCTTAACAGATTGTCGGGGGCAAGTGTTGTTAGCGAGCGGCACCTATGAAGACCGGCAGGGCACACGAGGGGGTGGGTGCCAACACCACGCCTGGCCGCCTACACACACACAGACACACACGAACTGTATTCCCACAAAGACACACACACACATTCTCACTCGCATTCACACATTCAGACGTGCACAGTAACAGAGACAAAGCCACACTCACACGCAGACACACACACGCACTGACACGCACGCCAGGCTGTAGTTTATTATGATTTTAATGATGTGCCAGGGGTCACAGAGAGTCTTGACAGATTTTTGCACAATTAACGCCGCACTGCATTGGCACTGTCACACCGAGAAACAAAAGTGACCCGATGGATTCCTAACACTTGCCATTAACCCTGACATCTGCTGGCAGGCGTATGGGAAGTGCTGGTGAGCGGTGGTGACACGGCCCAGCGGCAGCGCGGTTTGTCGCCTGTTGCAGAGCTCCACGCGTGGTTCTCGTCGGACAGACCGCCCTGGTTCACTGCGCGAGCGTTGAGCGAATAAGTAGTCGGCACTTTGTATTTCACAGTGGACATCAAAGGACCCGCGGTGGCATGCGACCCGAGTCGGCCATTGTGTGCCAAATTGGAAAATTGCCTGCAAATGACTCAATTTGCGATAACACAGCATCAGCAGTGGCCACGACTACAGCCTGCGAGACACAGCGCCCTCGCGAGAGCCTGGCGCTATAGTACTGGCCACAAATGGAAAATATGATGGTGAAACGTGTGCCACCTTTTTTTCTCGCCGCCTTCAGGTTTCCTGCTGCTTGTGAAGCATCTACTCATTCAACTATCGGCCAATTATCGCAGTGCAGGACCCTCCAATTTCTTAAACAAATGCTGTTGAGAGATATCGGTTCAGAAGACACGTAAGCTGATGGACAACATATGTTTAAGATGTATATGGGCAGACAGATGGAAGGCGAATGTAAGCAGATTGGCTAGGAGATGTTAACTACCTCGCCTGGTATACAGGAAGTCGTGGAATCAATCCTCACCCTGACACCTGCTGCTGTAGTTATGGAGTTCGTGTGTCTCTCCAAGTAGACGCGTGGATTTTGCTCCGGGTCCTCCGGTGTTTCCCTCCACGTTTAGAATCCCTATGCGTTTCGAGTATTTGGCTAACATAGATTTCCACGTGATAAGCCACTTCGCTCACCTATCATTTGTGGCCAGGTCGCTTCTGAATAAGAGCCATATAGCTCGTGGGCCTTACCTGGTAAAATACAAATAGTTCAGAAGTAGTTTTAGATAGATTGCTTTTCACGCATATTAAGAAGTTGTACTGCTTGTCATAATGGAATTGTTCAACACCAAAACTTGTCCATATAGCTGGAAGAAAATAACCCTACCAATGAGCAATAGCATAAAATAATAAATAAAATATTAAAATAATCGAATCAGTAACTGAAAGAACGATCGTAAACATTACCCTCGTGATAGAACAAAGCCAGGCCGCGAAGTTAACCAGTCTGCGGCGCAGACCGAACACCGATCGCAACCCCATCGGGAAGGCGGTCGGAGAGAGCCACGTGGCGACACGGCAGCGAATATCCCGCGGGGCGCGCACTGCGCGGCTCCATCCGCGCCGTGCCGCTTCCCCGCGGAAGAGGCCGAGCTACCGGGAGGGGGGTGGGTGGGCCCGCCGCCGCCACCGGCCGCGAAAGAGGCCACAGGTCGCCTGTCGGAGCGCCAGAATCACGGGGGTCGTGGCGGACGCGGGTTTAATGTTCCGCGACGAGGAGCCGGGCGACTCGTAAATCGTCGTCGCTCACCAAACGCCGCCGCCCGTTTACGTCACCTGTTCAACTCGGCAACGACGCCGCACTGGGGCTCGTTTTCTGTTGTTGTTCGCGAGGGGGTTAAACGACCAACAAACAAACAGAAAGGGAGACAGTGGGAGATTGAGATGCGAGTTAAGGGGACGAGGCTGTCTGCTCGGTAGCTGCGCGTGCGTTCGCAACGTCAGTTGCGCATTACCTGCGTGGCTGGGTCGCCGTCATCATCATCACCATCGGCAGCCATGATCCATCTGCTGCTGGATGAAGCCCCCAAGTTGTGTCAAGATCTTGATTGTACAACAAAGTGGCGTTCCTCTTGTGCTCAGATATCCGCACGTGATGTGGGTAATGGGACATTTTAGCGAGCGAGTGTCGATGCACCCATTGTTAAAATCGATCGTCAAGCCTTTGCGCGATACGTGCATCCGTGCATCCGTGTGTGAGAATCGATGCATTTCTCCTGGTAACCCACTCGAGGCACACACCGTTCACTGAGAGGGTTAAAAACAACAACAGGCTTTCGAGTGAGATCAACCACGAATGGTGACACTTCATGAAATGGCCATGGTGGACACCTTTGCTTGGGTGCAAGATGTGTGTAAGAGAGGTAGTACAGCAAGTAGGTGATTCCTTGCAAAAAGGTTTCAGTTTGGTGTTTTAACATCTTAACACTTGTTTTATTGCCAGAAGGGGCAGGTCTATCTGTGACAAATAAAAGCACTATCCCCTCCTATGCATATTATCTCCGCAGAATCCACTTCCACCCACACTGAAAAATGCTCAACATCGGAGTTGACCCAACGTCCCGATCATGACCTTTCCGCATAATATCCCGAGACTCCGCGAGGCTTTCCTGGATAAATAAGGGACTGCTGCTGCTGATCATCTTTGTTGTTGCTGGTGCTGCTCGTCATTTGTTTACGCCGACTCACAGCCGAGCTCTGAGTCTGGGTTGTCACCCCGACCCCTGCGTCTGCCCCTGCCCTGGCAGCCCCCTGCCGGAGCACGAGGCCGAGCGACTGATCGCGGCCCTGGCTCTTCACGTCGGACTTCCACCGTCCGTCTTCACCCACATCAGGTGGGAACGGGCCCCCAGCTCCCTCCCACGCTCCCCCAGCTCCCTCACACGCTCCCAAAAGCTCATCGCCCTCAACCATCCTCATCTTCGCTGCCGCCGGCGCCGTGGTTGCGGGCGTTGGCATCGTTGTCGTCATCTGCCCCCATATCACCGCGACCGTCATCAGCGTCACTGCGATCGTCATCATCATCGTGAGTTTTGCTGTCGTCAGCATTGGCATTGCCATGATCGTAATCAACTGACGTATCGCCACCATCGTCAAAATAATCGCCACTAATCTCATCATCATGATCATCACCATCATTTCTAACATTATCAGCAGTATAATCATCACTGCGTCCATCATCATCACTGCTCTTGTCATTATCTTCGCCATCACTATCATCGCGAACACCACCACCATTCCCATTCCCACCATCACTCAATCATAACAGCCACCGCTGCCATCATCGTAATAACCAACACCGTCACAACCTCCGTCATTAACATCATCAATCAATGGTGATGTTTCACTGAGAGGCGTCCCAGCTGGTGCCAGGAAAATCGATAATGAATGAGAAACAACTTCTGTCTCGGTTGACATTTGCCCGCGTCCCTTATTAACGCAGCGCCGCGGTGTGCCGCGGTGTGTCACGGTGTGTCACGGTGTGTCGCGGTGTGTCGCGGTGTGCCGCGGTGTGTCGCGGTGTGTCGCGGTGTGCCGCGGTGTGTCGCGGTGTGTCACGGTGTGTCGCGTGGTGTGTCACGGTGTGTCGCGTGGTGTGTCACGGTGTGTCGCGTGGTGTGTCACGGTGTGTCGCGTGGTGTGTCACGGTGTGTCGCGTGGTGTGTCACGGTGTGTCGCGTGGTGTGTCACGGTGTGTCGCGTGGTGTGTCACGGTGTGTCGCGTGGTGTGTCACGGTGTGTCGCGTGGTGTGTCACGGTGTGTCGCGTGGTGTGTCACGGTGTGTCGCGGTGTGTCGCGTGGTGTCACGTGGTGTGTCACGGTGTGTCGCGTGGTGTGTCACGGTGTGTCGCGTGGTGTCACGCGGTGTGCCGCGGTGTGTCGCGTGGTGTGTCGCGGTGTGTCGCGTGGTGTGTCACGGTGTGTCGCGTGGTGTCACGTGGTGTGTCACGGTGTGTCGCGTGGTGTGTCACGGTGTGTCGCGGTGTGTCACGGTGTGTCGCGGTGTGTCGCGTGGTGTCACGTGGTGTGTCACGGTGTGTCGCGTGGTGTGTCACGGTGTGTCGCGGTGTGTCGCGGTGTGTCGCGTGGTGTCACGTGGTGTGTCACGGTGTGTCGCGTGGTGTGTCGCGGTGTGTCGCGTGGTGTGTCGCGTGGTGTGTCACGGTGTGTCGCGTGGTGTGTCACGGTGTGTCGCGTGGTGTGTCGCGGTGTGTCGCGTGGTGTGTCACGGGTGTGTCGCGGTGTGTCACGGTGTGTCGCGTGGTGTGTCACGGTGTGTCGCGGTGTGTCGCGGTGTGTCGCGTGGTGTGTCACGGTGTGTCGCGTGGTGTGTCACGGTGTGTCGCGGTGTGTCACGTGGTGTGTCACGGTGTGTCGCGTGGTGTGTCGCGTGGTGTGTCACGGTGTGTCACGGTGTGTTGCGTGGTGTGTCACGGTGTGTCGCGTGGTGTGTCGCGTGGTGTGTCACGGTGTGTCGCGTGGTGTGTCACGGTGTGTCGCGTGGTGTGTCGCGTGGTGTGTCACGGTGTGTCGCGGTGTGTCACGGTGTGTCGCGTGGTGTGTCACGGTGTGTCGCGGTGTGTCGCGTGGTGTGTCACGGTGTGTCACGGTGTGTCGCGTGGTGTGTCGCGTGGAGTGTCGCGGTGTGTCGCGTGGTGTGTCACGGTGTGTCGCGTGGTGTGTCACGGTGTGTCGCGGTGTGTCACGGTGTGTCGCGTGGTGTGTCACGGTGTGTCGCGGTGTGTCGCGTGGTGTGTCACGGTGTGTCGCGTGGTGTGTCGCGCGGTGTGTCGCGGTGTGTCGCGTGGTGTGTCACGGTGTGTCGCGTGGTGTGTCACGGTGTGTCGCGTGGTGTGTCACGGTGTGTCGCGTGGTGTGTCACGGTGTGTCGCGGTGGCGAGCGGCCTGGGTGATATCGCCTCTTTGCCGCGCTTCAGCATCTGCGCCAAGAAAGTGTGGCCCGTGATGGGGGCGATGGGGGTGATGGGGGCGATGGGGGAGCGATGGGGGTGATGGGGGAGCGATGGGGGAGCGATGGGGGGGCCGTATCGCCCGCGGATCTCTCGAAGCGGCCGCTGCTCTCCCGGCCGCCGCTGCTACCGCTCTGGAATGGGAAAGCGCCGAGGACAATTGGAGTGTGCGAGTGTGTGTGTGCGAGTGTGCAACGACAAAGATCCCCCGTATAGCCTTAACAGACTGTAGGGGCAAGGGCTGTTAGCGAGCACCTATGAAGGCCGGAACGGTGGCCAGCACCACGCTCGATCGCCTTTGTCTCCCCAGTGGCGATGTTTACACACCGGACCAGGTACTCATTTAAGGCTGAGTCGACCTAGGGGAGGCCCAGGACCGGTTCAGATAATCGTCACTGGTGTTAGCCGTGAGCGGGAATCGAACCCGGGTAGCCAGGTTCATAGCGCAGCGCGCTAACCGCTACACTACCGCTCTTTGTGTGTGTGCGAGTGCGTGTGTGCGAGTGAGTGTGTGTGTGTGCGAGTGAGTGTGTGTGTGTGCGAGTGAGTGTGTGTGTGTGCGAATGTGTGTGAGTGTGTGCGAGTGAGTGTGTGCGAGTGAGTGTGTGTGTGCGTGTGTGTGAGTGAGTGAGTGTGTGCGAGTGAGTGTGCGAGTGAGTGTGTGTGTGTGTGCGAGTGAATGTGTGTGTGTGCGAGTGAGTGTGTGTGCGAGTGTGTGTGTGCGAGTGAGTGTGTGTGGGTGCGAGTGAGTGTGTGTGTGCGAGTGAATGTGTGTGTGCGAGTGAGTGTGTGTGTGTGTGCTAGTGTGTGCGAGGGAGTGTGTGTGTGCGAGTGAGTGAGTGTGTGCGAGTGAGTGTGTGTGTGTGCGAGTGAATGTGTGTGTGTGTGCGAGTGAGTGTGTGTGTGCGAGTGAGTGTGTGTGTGCGAGTGAGTGTGTGTGTGCGAGTGAGTGTGTGTGTGCGAGTGAGTGAGTGTGTGTGTGCGAGTGTGTGTGTGTGCGAGTGAGTGTGTGTGTGCGAGTGAGTGAGTGTGTGCGAGTGAGTGTGTGTGTGTGCGAGTGAGTGTGTGTGTGCGAGCGAATGTATGTGTGTGTGCGAGTGAGTGTGTGTGTGCGAGTGTGTGTGTGTGCGAGTGAGTGTGTGTGTGCGAGTGAGTGTGTGTGTGCGAGTGAGTGTGTGTTTGCGAGTGAATGTGTGTGCGAGTGAGTGTGTGCCAGTGTGTGCGAGTGAGTGTGTGTGTGTGCGAGTGAGTGTGTGTGTGTGCGGGTGTGTGTGTGTGTGCCTGTCAGGGGTCCAGCCTTCATAGGTGCTCGCTAACAAGCACTTTCCCCAATAGTCTATTGAGGTTATTTGGGGGGTCGTTGCCTTTGTCTTTGCCTGTCAGGGTGAAGGTCAGGCTCGCACGGCCTGTCGGGAAGGTCTGGGACAATAGGGCAGCGCGGTGGTGGGGGGGGGGGCTGACTGGGCAGCTGGGGCCCTGGGTGCGACATTTCTGCGAGATTTTCATTCATCATTATCTTCATCATTATCGGAATCATAATTATCGTCACGATCATTACTGTCATTATCGTCATAGCCGTCATTATTGCTGTCATAATTAGAATCGTGATCAGCATCATGAGAAACAGCAGTGTTATCATCATTCATTGTCTTCAGCATCATCATAATCACAACATCCTCATGATTATGACACCGTTTCCACGAGCACCTTACACACCAATGAATAGCCACGAGGTGCACATTCATTTGTGTATGGCCATGTGAAATATTTACTTAATGCTACTGATTATATGCATTCCATTTATGCCGTCAGCATCATAGTCATGCGGTTATGACATTTTCAATTGGGGTTGCAGTGAGCAGTGGACTATCTTGTGTTGGAGAAAAGTCCGTGGAAGATGACTTCACAGAACTCACAATCAGAATCCGAAATCCATTAAATATCCTCTTTATTCACACGGCACTGGTTGCAGAACACCTTCGATCGTGACATTAATTTACATCCTTACAAAACAAAGGTGTCTGCACAGGGCATGACATTAATATGCTCAATAACAACAGCCATGTATGCATTTATATATGATATGAACGTATACAATTTACAAATATTTAAAGAATTCTAGACGTAGAAAAGTAGTATTCAGGCTGGCTGAGCGAGGCTTAGCAGAATCAATCGTACACAATAGGGAATAGATGGGTTTTCGCTCTGGATTTCAGTGCTGACAAAGCTTTGGGATTAGGGATACCAAAGGGGGAGTCTAAGCCAGACAGTGGGTGCAGCAGAGGAGAAGGAGGGAAGGGGGAGGAGGACGATCGCTCCGAGCAGAGCAGCACCGAATGTATTTCCTCGTATCCTCGCACTGCTGATGAGTCCATTGATCTGCAGGTGCGCTGAATGTAGGGACGGCGACATCGCCACGCGTTCACGCCGCGTGCGTGCGGGCGCGCGCAACATTTGAGCAATCTCTTCTGCTTTGTCTGCCACAAGCCACGGTATTGATGAGCCATTGTGAGGTTACAAACACGCGCACGCGCGCAGATAAATATATAACAATAACCTTTTTGTTGCTTTGATGCATTGACCGCGGTTATATTTGGCACCGAAACCTGCTGTACAAATCGTAAACTAATCTTCTTCAGCTTTTCTCCACCGTGGATTTTTTTTGGGCGGGAGGCCGCGAGACGTTCGCTCGTCTCCGGGCAACCGTGGAGACGGGGAGTTTGGCGAGGAGGAGGAGGCGTTGTGCGTGGTGTGGTGTGGTGGGGAGGGAGCGTGGTGTGCTGTGGTGAGGAGCGTGGTGTGGTGGGGAGGGGAGGGGAGGGAGCGTGGTGTGCTGTGGTGAGGAGCGTGGTGTGGTGGGGTG